AAAAAAATAAGAAACATGCGGGAAACAGCTATTAACATAGAGGGAAACAGTTTAATTGTTATTTAATAGTTATAAGATTACATTGCATATCTTTGTGCAAATAAATTTTGAAACCTAGATGAAATGGATAATTTAAAATATATTATATATTATAACTTACCAAAATTTGCCTCAGTAGATATAGAAAGCTTGAACAAATTTATTTCCATAGACAGAATAGAGAAAGTTGTCAAGGAGCTAGTTAACAGGCCAAAGCCCAGATGGTTTCACAGAGAGTCAACCAGACTTTCAGAGACTATTTAGAAACAACTGTTTCAGACATACAAACATTTGTGGAACAAGTATAACATTGACATCAAAACCTGACAAAGGTAGTGCCCACATACAAACTTATAGACTAATATCATTTATCAATGTTGATGCAAAAATCCTAAGTAAAATATTAGAGATGAGACTCTACCTACTACATTAAGAAAATAGTACATCATGAACAAGCAGGTTTTATGCCAGGAATGTAAGGACAACTCACTATATTCGTTGATCTAAGAAGAAAATTATAATAGTATCACCAGAAATACAGAAAAAGCCTTGGATAAAAATTTAATGCCCATTCCTAACAAAAACACTTAACTATAGGAATGGATAAGATACTTCTTTAACATTATATAAACACACACACACACCCTTCCCTCATTTCTAAAATCAGCATCTTAGTAAAGAAACACTAGAAGCATTCACACCAATGTCAAGAATAAGTCAAGGAAGTTTGATATTTCCACTGTTTTTTAACATTATATTGGCACTACTGGACAATGCACTTAGATAAAACAGTGGGAAAGGAAAAAGTAAAAGTGTATCTGTTTGTTGGTGACATGATCATATATGTATTTGGAGAAGTCTGTAAAGAATCAATGCTAAAACTAAGACAAAACCAAGGTATTAGGAAATAAAAGTAACATGAAAATATCAATAACCCTCAAATAAATGATTACCAGTTAGAAGATACATTGGAGGAGAAATCTCATTTAAAATAACAAGAAAGGCTGGGTGTGGTGGCTTACTCCTGCAGTCCTAGCTTTCTGGGAGGCCAAGGCAGGTGGACTATTTGAGCTCAGGAGTTCAACACCAGCCTGAGCAACAGTGAGACCCCATCTCTACCAAGGAGAAAAGAAAAATAAATAAGTAAAAAACAAGAAAGATAAAATACTTAAGAAATGTATAAATCCCGTATGTGGCATTACGGAGTTGTGTGTCCCCCAAAATTCATATGTTGAAGTCCTGAACTCAGAATATTTTTGGAGATAGGGCCTTTAAAGGGGTAATTAAAATAAAGCCATGAGGATGGGTCCTAATGTAATCTGACTGGTTCCTCTGGTTCCTCTGAAGAGGGATTAGGACAGGCAGAGAGACACCAGGAAAAAAGGCCATGCGAGTATACCCTGAGGTGGCAGCCATCTGCAAGCCAAGAAGAGAAACCTCAGGAAAAACCATCCTGCTAACATCTTGACCTTGGGCTTCCAGCCTTCAGAACAGTAAAAAATATATTTCTGTTGTTTAAGCCACCAGTCTGTTATGTTGTTATGGCGGTGCTAGCCAGCTAATACAGACGGTACCTATAGAACACAAAAGACAAAAGAGTAGACTGGCATAGATCTTCCTACATCTTGAATAGAGTTAACATCCATTAGGCAGACATCATGCACTTCTGGATATATATATGCTTTGAGAGGGGCATGATGTCCCTTATCTAGTAGTCCAACCAAATGAGGACGCATCAGAGAAATCCAGGTTGAGAGAAAGCCTATAAAATGACTTCTGTCTTCAAAAATGTCAGCATGAAAACAAGGGATGGGGAGGCAGGAGGTGGGGAAGGCTGAGGAACTATTTGGGATTACAGGAGACTAAAAAAACATGACAACAAAGTATAATATGGAATCCTAGCTTAGATCCTGTATCAGGAAATTGCTACGTAGGACATTGTTGGGGCAGTTGACAGAGTTAGAATATGATTTTACATTAGATAAAATCATGTCAATGTTAAATTTCTCAAATTTGTTAACTATAATGTGTATGTGTAAGTTAATTTTTTTAAGGAGCTACTCAGAAATGTTATGGGATAAAGGGACATATGTTACCTGTTCTCAAATGATTCAGAAAGTGTGTCTTTGAGAGCAAAAGGGAAGAGAAAGAATGAGTAAGTAAATGTAGTGAAATGTTAAAAATTGGTGAGTCTGAGTAAAGGGCATACAGTTTTCTTTATATTATTCTTGCAATTTTTCTGTAAATTTGAAATTATTTCAAAATAAAGAATGTTCATAGGAGCTTTATTATAATTGCCCCAAACTGGAAACAACCAGAATATTCATCAGCCGGAAAATAAAACTGTATCAAATAAATTATAGTTTATAGACATAAGATGCTACACATATTGGATGAATCTCGCAGACATAATGTTGAACCAAAGAAGCCAGACACAAGATTCCATTTACATGAAGATTTCTGAATTTTACTGTAGATGTGTAATGTTTCAATATATTTTTTAAGTTTATTAAAAGATGACTTCAGCATTATACAGTGTATCCATATAACAAAAACATCTGTATCCCCCCTTAATATTTTTAAATTAAAACAAAGGTACCTGTACCTGTATTAGCCATGGCAAAATCATATTAATAATCAGAGGTGAGGGAAAAAAAGTTCCTTTCTTGTCAAGTTCATCTATGTATAGAGTGCTGCTTTCTTGTACTCGGTGGCTCATCTCCCGGGTCATCCACTAAAGCTGATTGACCTCACCTGTGGTTTCCATTAAAGACTGCCTTAGAGGGAACCGCTGCACACCACACAACAGGCTTACTGCAGGAACATGTATGCAAAATAGCAAGTTGGGGGTGCAGAAATGCATTGCCCTTTGCTGTGGCTATTGCAAAGGTTAATTCTTTCCCCCTGACTACCCTCATCTGAGGTGGTAGAAACAAGGAACTTCTCAGTTCTAAAACAGGCAGTAAGAGCTGCTAAAACAGGCACCCAGTAAGCCGAACTTCTGTGTGTGGGGGTGGGGGGAGGGTGCGAGGAGGAGGGATTCTCTGAGGGAAGAGGAGATGTGGAATTGATTCAAGTTGCTCTCTGATGCTGCATTTGCAGGAATGGTTTAGGGGTCAGTGTTTGCCCCCTTTAAGGGTAAGAATCAGCCGGCTGTGGTGGCTCATGCCTGTAACCCCAGCACCTTGGGAGGCCAGTGCGGGAAGAGTTCGGGAGTAGCCTGCGTAATATAGCAAGACCCCGTCTCTACAAAAAAAGAAAAAAAAAATGAGACCATAGCTAGGTGCCTGTGAAAAGGCAAGCTGGGACGTGGTAACTCAAGCTGCAGCAGCTAAAAGAAAAGAATGTTAATGATTGCATAGGTAATTTAAAGATATTGGACTATTTTGGAATGTAGATAGATTTCTATTGGCATTGGGGGAGCCTTTATCAGGATTTTTTCTCCAACAAAACAAAGCAGTTTATACTTCAGATAACTATTGAAGGGCACAAGGAGAAATTACGCTTTTAAAGGTTTAGTTTGGGTGGATTCCATCACTGCACTAAAAAGAAAACATTTATTATATACTCAAAAGATTGTTTCTGAAGGATCAAATAGGGAAATCCACAAATTTATTGCTACAGGATTATGTAGGGATTTAAGAGATAGCATATGAGAAATTTTAATACTATCAAAAAACCTATTTTTACTTAGACAATTTTAGCTAATAAGTGATAATCCAAGTGTTAAGACCGTGTTTTTCCATAGAAATGATATAAATTATGGATAGATTCTCTGGAAATCCCTCACAAGTCTACTGAATTTCTAATGCCACTAAATATTGTCTCTGTGGGGAAATAGAATATATCCTGAGTCCTAACTACCAACAACAATAGGCTTTAAACGTCCTCGTCTCTTCTCCCATACAGTTTACAAAATGGGTTTTCACTCCCTGGCTAAGAACACAAGAGCAGGAGGGGTTGCAGAGGTTTTTATTATTAGGAGGACCCATCCAGGGACCCTGGTGGGGAAATGCAGGCTCTAACCTTGGCTGAGGCTCTGTAACTGACTGTTATAGCCCTTCCCTTCTAGAATCATCCCATTTATTGCAGCTTTGCCTTAGGAGGTTTCTGGAGGTCGATGACCATGCCAGTTACTAACTCTTTAGATTCCTAATGTGTAGAGCTTTCAGGAGGGACAGGAATTCTTTGCTTTTCAACAAGTGTCTACCTTTTGGACCTTTTTTAGCTTGAATTTTCAATTAGCAAAATGTACATTGTACGTCACATTTTTTTCTTTGGCCTGTCAGGAGGTATTAAGGATTTTTGAGAAGTAGATAACTTCATTAAGATCCTTAGAAAAAAGAGATGTTCATAAAGTATGACTGTTAGCACAGGATGTAACATAAGTTCTGTTTCACAAAACACCATATTTTGTGTAATTAACTATCTTCAGTGGCATTTGGATTTTATACTGTTCACTGTATTTCCTGAGCTTTATTTACTACACTTCTTTTTGTGCTAAAGTGTGTGTCAGTTTAAAACATTTGTGGTGAATAATTCATATCGTTCGATAAACATTAACTCTTTAATGTAAAATCTTACCAGCAGGGCTGTGAAGGGGAATTGTCAGTGATGATATATATTCTTAATTGTGCTTTGGTTTTTAGTGAATGAAAAATTAAGAACGGGGAACCTTAACATTTTTAACTTAAAAGAATGTATTTTGCAGACTTTCCTCCGGCAGTTCATCAGTGCTGCAGATCTCAGACATATGGTATCAGTGATTCTAAAGAGACGGCATTTCTTCCTGAGTATAAAATAGCTTTTCATTTGAATGGTGCTTCTGAGTTGGCAGCAGGGCAGGGATCAGATAATTTGTTGTCACTTACAGATTGTTTTAACTTTGTTGTGATATAATTACAGATTTTTATCATTCTCATTTTTGTCTTTCTCTTTTTTTTTCCCCCCCATTTTTCCAGTACTTCCTCCAGTGCTGGTTCCAAGACACAGCGAATATAACCCTCAGCACAGCCTCTTAGCTCAGTTCCGTAACTTAGGACAAAATGAGCCTCACATGCCACTCAACGCCACTTTTCCGGATTCTTTCCAGCAACCCAACAGCCACCCGTTTCCTCATTCTCCCAATAGCAGTTACCCAAACTCTCCTGGAAGCAGCAGCAGCACCTACCCTCACTCTCCCACCAGCTCAGACCCAGGAAGTCCTTTCCAGATGCCAGGTAGGTTGGAATGTTCAGTGACGTTCTGTGGTCAGATCACTGTTGCCGCAGTGTCACGGGTACTGGAAGCGGGTAAACCTGGAATGGAGGGAACTTTTCAAGTCTGGTGTATGGCACCGTGCTGTCCTACTCTTAGAGTACAACTTTTGGTGAAAGGAGACCTTGCAGCCAAGTAAGCAAATGTCTTATTTTATTTGTCAGGCACAGATGCTTGAATAAGCTATATTTTTCCTTGTTTTTAAAAGGTTTTGAAACAGCTACATCCTTCTGGGAGTGGCATAATTGTTACAGTCTTTGCTCTTGATAAAAGAAAGAGAAAAATAGTGTGTTATACACATTTGCTGTTATGAGAAATACAACCTCCATTAACACCATTTCATACATGGAAGAACCCCTGTTGTAAGTGCAACCTCAGAAAAGATATTTCCTGAGGGATCACATGCCCCCCCCACTTAATTAAATTCACCTAAATGGTGATGTAATCCCAAGAAACATATACGTTAACAACAAAGGAATTGCCACAGAAGGACTGGAAACCATCTGCTTGTTCAGCTTAACAAAGACAAAAAATAATTATCCTCTTTTTTTTTGAAGACATAACTGGTGGTGTAATGGTAATCAAAATAAATGATTAATTAGGACATTATATTTTTCAAGTTATAGGTTAATAAGCAAGCATCTCAGAAAGAAAAAATAACGCCAAATTTCTTGCCAGTAAACCTCAAGAAAGATACCCTAAATAAAGATATACTTGACATCTATTAACGTTTAGGAAGGGAAAATGACTGTGCAAGCATGTTTATCGGGCCACTTGAAATGTTTTTAAGTAAATTTGAATTCAACATCAATGCTAGGACTGCAGTTGAAAGCTTTATCTCAAACCAGGAATGAAGACAAAGAGGTCTTTACTTTGTCCACACTTGGGAAGTGGTCCACACTCTATATTGCCTCCTTTTATTAACGTATTTATTACTCTCTTTCATTTTAACCCTGTTTATTTTGCATTGTTTTGTTTTTCAATGCAAGAAATTGGGATAAGGATGGGCGATAGATTGGTTTAAAAATCAAACTAATATATGGTGATTTCCTATCCGCCCCACCCCCTTCCAAACCCACAGAGTTTGAGGGACAGGTTGGTGGTGAGATTAGTTTCACTCCTGGGTGGGCCCAAGAGGGAATTGAAGGTTATTGCTGGAATTTACACTTTGTCCTTAGCTGTCAGGGATTAAGGTACAGGCCAGGTAGAGGAAATACGGAAGAAAACCAGTTACAAGGGAGGGGCTTGGTTACTTGTGGAAACAGTAGAATTATCACCAAGTAATTACCTGGTCCCTTTTGGTGGTGCTGATGCCATAGGTTGCTGATTTTCAGCAGCTTGTTGGCAGAGATTCACTGATTCAGGCCAGAGGAGCCTCTTTGTCTTCATTCCTGGCTTGAGATAAAGCAGAGACATCCCCACAGCTGCAGGGAAGAAGCTGAATTAAAAGAAGCTGGGGAAGGGGTGAAAAAGGCATCCAGAAAAGGTCCCTGTGGCCTGGTCTTGATGCTTTGAGTCGTTGCTTGTTAGCAGCTGGATAGTGGAAGTTCCTGGGTTGTGACTCAGCTGGAGAGTCAGTCCTGGAAGCCACCAGGGATCTCTGAAGGGGCAGTGTTAGTTACTCCTGTTCAGCAGTTGCCCTGAGTGGTCTAGAGCGCTTATCCAAGTAGTCGTGATTCCCTCAGGTAAAATTTGTCCCCAAGGCCCTGTCTTAATGCTCTGACTCATGATAACCAGTGAGAAACTGGTTTTTGGATTGAAAGGATTATGTGCAGGGAAACCTATGCCCTTTATTTATATTAAGAAAACACAAAACTTGTGTTAATGTTCTTTGTTCCAAAAATCATGTCGTTCGCCTCTTATATGCCAGTTGGTTATGTGCTCTTCAGAAGAAACATGTAAAGTCTGAAATAGAAGATAGCTGTGATCAACTGATTCATTTTCTATTATTCTGTTACTAGGGATTTAAAAACTAGTGATTATTTAAGTGGGTAGGGAGAAGATAGTCCTAACAGATTACTTAAAGTCATGGAAAAATAGCAGTTTAAATCAGTAGGCTGTAACAAAACTCAGTTGGTAAATTCCTAAAAGGCTCCCGGAGGTGTAATGCAAGAGACCCCGAAGCTCCTTTACTTCAGAAGTCCAATGTGGCTTTCAAAGGTTTTCCATCTACCAGAGAAGCTGTGAAAGGCGGAGGTCCTCTTGGAGCTGATTGTATGAAAGTATGTTTAAATACTTTTCTTGTTGCCCTTAATGGCTTGATCCTGGATAGGCAGCCAACTTTTGGAACTGGCATACAGTGCTTTTCCTCCCACTGAATTTTTGCTAAAATATATAAGATTATGGGATGATAATACTTTTCAGAAATTGTATAGCAAGTCCAGTCCTCATAGTATCCATTCTTTTAATGGGGAGATTCAAATGGCAACTCGATCTCTTAAGAATTTCAACACAGAAGAGAATATATGTTTTAAGCATGTATGTTTATTAATGTTTAAGAAATAGTTTTTTTGAAACTTTGTAGCTGATACGCCCCCACCTGCTTACCTGCCTCCTGAAGACCCCATGACCCAGGATGGCTCTCAGCCAATGGACACAAACATGATGGTGCCTCCACTGCCCTCGGAAATCAACAGAGGAGGTAAAAGGAATTGCTGCTTATTCCCTTTTTAGAGTCTACCAGTTATCTGTCCAAAAGTTACTTTCTGCCACAAATTTTTATTAGAATTTACAAAGATAGCTATTTGAGGCTGGGTGTGATGGCTTGACACTAGCCTGAGCAAGAGTGAGACCTTGTCTCTACAAAAAATAGAAAAGTTAGCCAGGCATGGTGATGTGCACCTATAGTCTCAGCTACTCGGGAGGCTGAGGCAGGAGGATTGCTTGAGCCCAGGAGTTGGAGGTTGCAGTGAGCTATGGTGATGCCTCTGCACTCTAGCCTGAGCAACAGAGTGAGAATCTGTCTCAAAAAAAAAAAAGCTGTTTGAGAAAGTTAGAGATGATGATAAGAGAAGCTTGGTAGAAAGAATCCTTTGGATAACAAATAAGTCTTTTATTTAAAGAACAAATATACTGGTTTAACTGATGAAGTCCTGTGTATAGTGTGCTTTTATCTGTTTATATCTTCAATACTTAATTTTTCATTGGTGATGAAAAGAATATTTTTAAATGGACAAAGTAGTTTTGAGAAACAATAAGCATGGTAATACTGAAGTAGAGTTTTCATGGGTGATTTCCAAAATTGGAAGTTCATATAACTGGGCTATCCAAACGGTTTCTTTTATAGATTCATAAACCACATCTGTTTTCTAGCCGTAATCTTTGTATAACTGCAACTGCAACAAACAAATAGCATACCTTTCTTGCTGTGTTTGCTTCTAACTTTGTTACTGGAAGAAATTTAGGCACAAGTTTTTCCTCTTCTCTCCTTGGAAAACTTATAAGCAGAACTGAAAATTTCTTTCCCTCTTTAGTAAAAAGATGTGTCTTTCTTTCCAGCTCAATATTTATCCTTACCAGTGACCGAGTAGAGCATACCATCATTCTTCTAGGTCTACATTGGCTAGTTGAATAGGCTTAAGCAGGCAGAGAACTCAGGCAGATAAATTTGGTAGAATCCCCGAGAGTCTTTAAGAAGCCATGGCCACGTTGGTGAATAAAACTATTCCCAAATAGCCTCTCAAGGAGGAAAATGCTTCACTGATGCACTCAACACATGGCATGGGTTGTTCAATTTATATAAAGTTTATGCAAATTGAAGTTAAAGTGCAGTTTGATTACTAGGTATGTCTTATTTCATTCTTAGTGCTTTTTTATTAAAATAGGAGATACCTTAGAATTTGTCAGAGTTGCTTATATTCTTTAAGTACTTAAAATTTGATGTATGATACTGTAATGGTAGCTACATGTCAATACACATTTGTCCAAACCCATCAAATATACAAAACCAAGAGCAATTACATTACCTAATATTAGCTATGGACTTTGAGTGATAATGATGTGTGATGCAGGTTCATTAGTTGTAACAAATGTACCACCCTGGTGAGGAGTATTGATAAGGGGGGAGGGTAGGCGTGTGTAAAGGCAGGGAGTATGTGGATATATAGCTATATGCACTTTATGCTCAGTTTTGCTATGAATCTAAGACTGCTCTAAAAAATAAAATCTATTAAAAAATTGAAGATGAGCTCAACAGAACCTTTCTTAGATATGCAGTGTAATAAGTTGGAATGTATACCTTTCTAATTGGCAGAAAAAATTTTGTATCTTTTTTTATTGGCTATGTATCTTATAGTTTCAGATCATCTCTAGAACATCCTTTCAAACAAATAATTATGAGCCAACAAATAAGCATTCTGGTTGGGGAAAATAACCCCTATCACACATCTTTGGAATTTGTATTTGAGGAATAAGATAGCAGGAAAGAGTAGGCACAGTACAACTGTACTGTTATAAGCACGTGGACTTGTAACTTTTGTTGTTAAGCCTAAAATGTCTAATTGCAGGAACCAGACCTTTAAATAACTTTAAGGTTTTTTTCCTCTAAATAGCTTTAAATTTTTTCTGCCTTAAAATGAGTTTATAGTCAGTTAATATTTTCAAGAAAAGGAATGTTGGCCTTTTTTTTTTTTTTTACCTTTGGTGATTTTCCTAGAACAGCTGTCAGCAAACTATAGCCCACAGGCCCATTTACCCTGCTGCCTATTTTTGTGAATAAAGCTTTATTGGAACACAGCTGTGTTCATTCCTTATATATTATCTATGACTGCTTTTGTGCTATAAGGGTAGAAGTTTGTGATAGAGACTGTATATAGCCCACAACATCTTTCTGGCCTTTCAGAAAAAAAATCTGTCAACCTCTGACCTAGATGAATAGTATTTTGAACAATCGTGATAGCTGATAAAAAGCCTTCTGTTAATGATGTTGCCGCCTTCTTTAAGATTTGGCACTTGTAAATCACTAAAATTGTGTTTCTTCAAATACAGCAAATTGACATAGTAGAGTTGCTTAGCAAATGGGGAAGATGCTTTTAGCTACCTACTTAAGTATATAAAGCAACTAATGTATGTGTGGGTTGTTTTTTTTAATGATCATTTTCTTTGTTTTTTTTTGTTTGTTTTTTTGTTTTTTACCAAATTCTAAAGTAAAATGCATTTTTATGAAAGTTGATGTTAAGAACACAAAGTTACTTCTCCTTTAGCAGTTAAAGTCCGTGCTGATGTGGATTTTCTTTTCTCTTCTCTTCTCTTCTCTTCTCTTCTCTTCTCTTCTCTTCTCTTCTCTTTTCTTCTCTTTTGCTTTTCTTTTGCTTTTCTTCTGCTTTTCTATTGCTTTTCTTTTCTTTTCTCTTTTCTTTCTTTTCTTTTTTTTGTGATTGTACACCCAAGACTTCATAAACCTCAGATCATTATATACCGGTATACTGAAAATATATGATTTGTATTCCTGGAATCTCTAAAGCAGTGGTACAAGAGGTTTTACTACAGAAGGAACTTATCTTTAAAACCTTTTAGTTGCAAATGTTTAGAAGCATGTTCTGTTTGGAGATTTGTTAGTCTTAAGAGATTTGACTTAACAAGCTGCATCCTGTCAGTAAAGTTGGGTAATTTCCATTGTTGGCCCATTCTGGGAATGGAGAGACAAAACACACCTGCTCTGCATGACTTAAAGCAAATATAAGGAAGTTAGCATGAAATCTGGATGAGAAAGATATGATTCATTCTGTAAGAATGGCCAGCTGGCAAGATTTCTTCCTGAGTTTGAGAACTGGAGCAAAACTGTAGCTGCGATAGTTATTGGCAACTTAATATGAAGTAAAATAACTTCTTATCAATAATTAGAAACTGATTTTCATTGCTTTGGAAAAGCAAGCTGTACTAAGGCTTTGCCAAAAGTAATTCCTTTTTATGCTGGGACCTTTGGCATATTTCCTATCTTCTATTGTTCTCTTCCCACTTGTTTTTTCACTTGTCACTTGTGTTTCTTTAGATGGTGAGCCAGGGTCTGTGGTTGGGGTGATTTCCATTTCTGCATATTACAGAGCAATTAGCATGTTGTTAGTATTCAGCAAAGACTCTTGCTTTGCTTGCTTAGCTTGTGTTTTGGTTATCTGATAGTAATTGGAGAAAATCGTTTTCCAATTAAAGGAGAATGTCATACTTACTAAGAAGTACCTGCTTTAAACATCATAGAAAAACTGTATACATTATAATAGCGGTTGCTTTTCCTTATCTTCATTCCATGATCCTGAGCCAATTCTACAACACAGTTTCAGTTTTTGAGAGTGAGCCCGAGGTGCTAAACTTGGGTGATACAACCTTTTCTTTCTTACAGATGTTCAAGCGGTTGCTTATGAGGAACCAAAACACTGGTGCTCTATTGTCTACTATGAGCTCAACAATCGTGTGGGTGAAGCGTTCCATGCCTCCTCCACAAGTGTGTTGGTGGATGGTTTCACTGATCCTTCCAACAATAAGAACCGTTTCTGCCTTGGGCTGCTCTCCAATGTTAACCGGAATTCCACTATTGAAAACACTAGGCGGCATATTGGAAAAGGTGAATTTTCACTTTAGCCTTTACCCTTTGTCTGTTGTGTTCTTCCTTCAGAGCTGCCTTAGCCATTCCTGTAGCAAACTAGTATAGCAAAGATCAGATCATGTTCATGTGCTGCAGTTTGTAAATATTTTTCCAGTTTGTGTTATCCGGAAGCGCTTCCCATCAGTCATTTTTGTGGTCTGTCAACTCTCGTAATGTTGATATTAAATTAGTTGAAATTATGATTTGCTATTTTGGGACACTACCTTATGGTTTTGCAACAAAAGAAGATGTCTATTAAAAAATGAATTACAACCTAAAATTAAAAGCACATTAAAACAAACTTAATTGTATTTCAAATGGATAGGATAACTCACTAAAGAGAAAAGAAAGAACCAGAAACTTATGAATATAGTATTTGACTGTGTATCCTCAGTCTAGGCCAGGAGGGTTAGGGTCAGGGGAAGGATTTCGAGCAAATCCTGAGCTCATTTTTAGCAGACTTGATTATTTCATCATGGTGTGAGTAAAACAGTTCTGAAACTTTCAGATTTATTATAACATTAAGCAAATGACTAAACGTGTCGTTGTTATTGGGAGCTTCGATTGCCACTGTGGAATAAGGGACACGTGGAGGGGGCAAAAGCTAAAGCCTGTGGAGGTATATGGAGGTGGACAGATAGCATATACCTCCAGATGGGACACCCCGGGAAGGCCATGACATCACTTACACAGAATTGCAGCCAAGAATGCAAATCTGTATCTAATCCCAAGGAAACATCAAACTCAAAGTGAGGAATGTTCCATTAAAAAGGGTGAGGAAAGACTGTATTCTTCTAAAATATCAATGTCAAAAGACAAAGAAGGATGTGGGAATGTTTCAGATTAAAAGAGGTTAAAGAGATAGGACAGCTATATGCAATACCTGACACGATCTATACCAGACAGGGGAAAAAATATGGCAGAGGACATTATTGAGGTCAGCAAGCAAAACTGGGTTATGAATGGTAGATTAGATCAATGTTAAATTCAGTGGCATTGATAACCACACCGTGGCTATGTGAGAGACTATCTCTAGTCTTAGGAAATAGACGCTTAAGTATTTAGAGAAATGGCTCAGGAAGAAATTATGTATCTATAAAGGCACCTATATCTATCTCTGTTTCTGTGTAAAACACTCCTGCATTGAAATACATACACATGCACACGTGTGGTGTGTGGTGGCTGAGGCCACAGATGATGAAACAAATGGAGTAAATTGTCACAATAAATGAATCTGGATAATGGTTATATGGGTGTTCCTTGTTCTGTGTTTCTTTGTTCTATTTCAAACTTTTCTATAAATTTGAAATTATTTCCAGATTAAAACTGAAAAATGAGCTGTGAAATTTAGAACAGTGGACTAGATTAAAAGGTTATTTAGTAGGTGTTTAACAGGCATTCAAAATGAAGTTTAACATTTAACTCTGGTTGGGATGGGGAGACCCAACAACTCTTAAACTGGGAGTTGGTATTTTCTTAATGTGATTAAAGAAAAAAAACTACACTTTCATTAATGAAGTGCTAGGACTTAAGTTCATATACAGAGATGGCTTCTGTATGGTCTGTAAACCTGTGAAATTGTATATAAACACATTTTGCATGCATTGAGAGGGAAGGACATATTTTTCATTAAATTCTAAAGATGATTATTATCCCAAAAGAGCAAAAAGGCATTGTACTATGGGACATTTCCTCTTTTAAAAAAATTAGGAAGAAAATAAAGATTTTTGGGAATTCTGTTATTTAAAACTGTCGCAGATGCCCTGAATGTATACTCAAATGTAGAACTGTAGATAATGGAAATAAAGCAAGATTATCATTATTTGCAGATGATATGAGTGATTGATAGTATTCTTGGGATAGATTCTTGAAGTGAAATTAGTAGGTCAAAAGTTCTTGATATATTTTGCCATATTATTCTCTGAAAAGCATTTATTAATTTACACCTCCTATTGGAAGTATATAAATGCCTTTCTCCCTTCACCCATGGCAGTATTTATGGGTGGGCATTTGTGTTTGTTCAAATGGCATGATTGTTTACTAGAAACCTCCAAAGTTGTATTTTTTAAAAGTTATATAAGTCAATTTCCTTTAATCTGTTAATAACCAGTTAGAAAATACAATGGAGAGGAAAATCTCATTTCTAATAGAAAAACATAAATTTCTTGGAAATAATCTAAACTTTCAGTATGTGAGGATTACATGAAGAAGACCAAGTCTTACTGAGAGAGGAAATACAAATAAATAAATAGGCAGTCTGTGTTCCTGAAAGGGAAAACTTCATATTGTGAGAACATTTTAAGGATACTAATTCTTCCTAATTTAATGTATAGTTTACAACAGTTCTTATCAGAATCACAATGTGATGGTTTTTGAAAGTTAGATAATGTATTCTGATTACCTGGAAGGATAAACAAATAAGAATAGCCCAAATTTTTTTAATGGAAGAATAAAGAAAAAATTATTGACATTAGGGTTAATAAAACATTGTAAAACTATAGCTAATCAGTATGTAGACAAAACAGTAGAGTAAATTAAACTCAGACTATACTGTATATGAAAATTTAATGTATGTTAAGTGAAGCATAACAAATCAGAGTCTTCTAATGGTCCTGCAATAACAAAGTTAAGCTTCTTAGGTGCGGTTGTGGAAGAGAAACGCTGATCTCATACCATATATGCAAATAGATTAATGAGTTGAATATTTTTAAAAAGGCAAACAATTAGAAAGCTATAAGAAAATATATTTGATTAAAGAGGTAGAAATTTTTTTATGCATAAAAAGTAACAGAAAAGATTATAAGAGATTGGACTGAAAGATTGCCAACTTCCTGTAGGTTAAAAATATGTCATGAACAAAATTAAAAGACTAACTAACAAGGTTAACAAGTAAATTATTTATGTCCTTCTTATATGCACAGGTCATAAAAAATAATAAAAATACTAGAAACCCAGTAGGTAAATAGGTAAGAAATATGAACAGTGAATTCCCAAGAGAAATACAGATGGCTAATGAACTATGAGAGCATATGCAGCCTCACATGTAAATTAAAACAATTATATTATTTTCAGGTATAAATTAGGGAAATTTGCTTTTGTTTTAAGCTCAGATTCACGGCTGGAAGGGGTAAAATGAGAGAGGCACTCATAAACTGCTAGTGAGGGTGTAAATTGATACAAGCATTCTGGAAAGTCATTTGGCAAAGTGAATCAGAACCTTCGATCCAATGATTTAACTTCCAGGAATCTCTCCTAAGGATATTATCAAAAATTGTCCAGGGACATTTATCACGGCTATTGTTATAATAGCAGAAATTAGTATTAACTCAGTGGTCCACTAATAGGACAGTCGTTAAAAAATTGTTATAGCCATACAATCAATCACTCACACATATTTTAAATGTTTGCAAAGTAATTTTAATGATACCCCAAAACTGAATACAATGAGTCAAACTACTATAACCATTATTGCCTGTAGGTCACTAAAGGAGTGATAATATATTTTGCATCTTTATATTTTAATTTACTTTCTGAATTTTCTAAAATGAAACTTTGCCATTTGAATAATTAGGGGAAAAAAGTAAAACACACACACACTTTTTCTGTCTCTTTAAATTTGTTTTTTCTACACAGGCCAAAAAATGAGCTTCTGCCCCAGCAGCTATTTAATGGTTACAGAAGTCTTAACTGTTGTGTGTACGTATAAACACAGCACATAATACTTCGTGCAAGGCAGTAGTTTTAGCATTGGCTAAGCCATGCCTGAGTTACCTCCAAGGTGGATTGTTCAAAGCCACAGGAGATCTGACTGTTTTCTGGGCGGCCTGTATAAAGTAATCTCCCTTAATAGCGTGGGGCTTTGTGAAAATGGTTTTTTCCCTTCTTTCCTTTTTTTAAAGGCTGAATAAGATCAATTTCCTACACTTTCAGCACTCTGGTTCTCACAGGAAAAAGTCTGGAGCAGGTGGTAGTTTACTGAGATCTGATTTCACGCAGTATGAATTATTTTTCTACTTTTTAATTTTTTTTTTCTTTTTTAGCTGGACCATCCGTCTCACAGTTCTCAGCAGTGTTTCTCCACTTGTGGTTTTCTAGTTCCTCTACTTCTCCTGCTCCTGCCTTCTCTTTACCTTAAAATTGTCTCAACAGCTTAGAGGCAGAATAAATCTAAAAGAGTTTTTGTGGTATATACGTAAAAGTCCAGGTTTTATTATGTTATATTTTTGGAGTGAGACTACACTTTCAATGCATGCCCAAATAGGGCTTTAAATACCTATCAGAATAAAATTGCTACACTTTGTTATAGTTTTTAAGAGACTTTGTGGCCAGGGCTCAGTGGCTTCCGCCTATAATTCTCACACTTTGGGAGGGTGCAGGATTGCTTGAGGCTAGGAGTTTGAGACCATCGTGAGTAACGTAGCAGGACCCCATCTCTACAGAAAATAGAAAAATTAGCCAGGCATGGTGGCACATGCCTGTAGTCCCAGCTACTTGGGAGGCTGAGGCAGGAGGCTTGCTTGAGCCCAAGAGTTTGAGGTCACAGTGAGCTATGATGATGCCACTGCACTCTAGCCTGGGTGTTCAAGCAAGAGCCTCAAAAAAACCCCAAAATTAACAGACTTTGTGATATTATTTTCTAAAAACCTCTTAAACATGCTTATTGACATGTGGACATTGTATTAACTAATACAGTTAACTGAGATTTTATCCGTTATGCAGGACATAGAGAATATCTAACTAGAATATCTGATTAGCTAAAGTTAAATCCATGTAAATTTATATGTTGAAGCTGCACAGGTGCCTTTCAGCTATCTATAGTAATGGTAACTAAATGATGCACTCTGTCTTCCTACAGGAGTTCATCTTTATTATGTCGGAGGAGAGGTGTATGCCGAATGCCTCAGCGACAGTAGCATCTTTGTGCAAAGTCGGAACTGCAACTACCATCATGGATTTCACCCCACTACTGTTTGCAAGATCCCTAGTGGGTGTAGTTTGAAAATTTTTAACAACCAAGAATTTGCGCAGTTATTGGCACAGTCTGTGAATCATGGTTTCGAGACAGTCTATGAGCTCACAAAAATGTGTACTATACGCATGAGCTTTGTGAAGGTAAGTGAGCTCTGATTCCTGTAATTAGGGTTTAACACACTTTTGCTGTGCTTTTTTGCAATATGAAAATCTATATCCTCTTCATAATATGTCTATATTAGCTGACTTACTATCTAGACACTTTTAAACTTTAATACAAATGTCAATATTAGGAGAATATCATTGGAACATACGAGTTGTGTTCAACAGCAGTAGCAGTAGGCTTTAATAACCTTTTCCTTAGTCAAATAGCACCATTTTAGCTATTTTAATACCATTAGAATATGTCAGGCAGGCAGTGGCTCAAGTCTGCAATTCTAGCACTCTGGGAGGCCAAGGCAGGCGGATCGCTCAAGGTCAGAAGTTTGAAACCAACCTGGGCAAGAGCAAGACCCCATCTCTACTAAAACTAGAAAGAAATTAATTGGCCAACCAAAAATATATAGAACAAATTAGCCAAGCATGGTGGCACATGCCTGTAGTCCCAACTACTTAGGAGGCTGAGGCAGAAGGATTGCTTGAGCCCAGGAATTTGAGGTTGCTTTGAGCTAGGCTGACACCATGGAACGCACTCTAGCCCAGGCAACAGAGACTCTGCCTCAAAAAAAAGAGAATATGTTAGGTTATACATTTACATATAATTTTAATACATGGTTGTCTCATGAGATCAGTTGAATAAACACATGTTCCTTTTCTTTTTCATTCTTTGTTTTTAGTAATTTTTATGATGATAATGCTTGTTTCTTTTGTTTTAACAAGCAAATGATCTTTTTGTAAAAATTCATCACATGTTCATCACATTGGAAATTATTTCTAATTGGTCAGTTTTTTTAGTGGTTTCAGTAAACCTCATGATTTTCTTATAATTCAAAATTTAACAAGACCTTTGCCCAAAGATAAATAGATGCCTTTGCTCTATGACTGTATTATAAGGTTTGAGGAGGGAGAAGGTTAAGGACATTGTTCCTAATAATTGATCTCTTTGCTGTCTCATCTTCTGCCTCTTAGAAATAAAAGTTTTTAAGATGCCATTGAAATGTTATTAAAAAAAAGTCTTTAAATATCTGATTAGATTTCATGAGTCAGTGACTTATTCTAGTAACTGACTGACTTGTCTCTGAATTCTCAAAGATAAATTTCATCCAGTGTTACTTTGAGAAACAAAACTAATTATATATTTGGGTGAGGCAATCCCCTTTTATGTCCTCTCTTCAGAAGCTCACCAAACTTGTTGTTAAACCTGTTTTGTAATGTATTTATTACTGAGGATAATTTTGGAGCCTTACTTTGTTAATCATCCTTTAGATCAAAGATATCTTTTCCTGAATATAATTATTTTTCCTACTTCTTTGAATCATCTTAGCAGATTTTCAGTGTGTTCTCTTTGGGTTTGTTTTCTTGAAATATACTTCAGCAGTTCTTTGCAGCTGAGTCTGGTACTTCTTTCATATTAAGGGAGGTTTTTGGTTTTCTTTTTAAAGAGCTTGACCTATATGCTATGTACATATGAGACTACAAAGACCTTTCTCATTCATTATTAACACTCACTGTTTAATTTTTTACTTAGCTTTTTGGCCCAGATGATTTTTAAAACAAGGACAGTAACTTGCCAGGAGTATTTTTTATTAGTTCTTATTGGTATGGAGGAAGAAATGGCTCTTGAGAGTGATGAGATGCAGGTTCTAGTTCTATCTATCTGCCATTTTAACCATATGATTAAGGCACAGTGACTCTTCCCTTCATGTTCGTCATCTTTAAAATTAGGGTGGATGAAGTTGGAAACTGTGATAATTATTACTAAGGCCCCTCAGTGAGTCTATTATTATTGAAGGACCACTCTAGAAGAATTTATGACTCTAATGTTCCAATTAGCATTCTCCTCTAACTCATTTCGCATTGATTAACCAATCAGTTGTAATTATTTTACTTTTGCACAGTTTTAATTTACTTTTACATAAGTAAAAACCTTTTAAACTAATAAAAATTAATACAAAGCTATGTCTTCAGAATTTCTTAGATTTCATTCATTCAGCAAATATTTTAGCACTATTCCAGAGAAGTAATACAAAGATGAAAAAGCACCTTAAGTCTCTAGCTTTAAGGTGCATATGGTCTAGTGTAAGTAATTATAATATGATAAGCACTAGATTAGAGGGTTATATGAAATATAATGTACATAGCTGGAGAGTTAGATTTAGAAAGTTGAAAATAAAAAATTTTATTAAAAACTCACATGATGAAGGGTAGCTGCTTATATATTAGCAACAAAAAACATTATACAATGTTTTTACCACATTGTTATTTATTATTATGACTGCATACTTTACCCTCTCCCACTCAGCATTTTAGAGAAATGATATAGAACACTTTACTAACATTAATAGCCAATCTTGTGCTATTTTTTTAAATGATCATTTTGGATATTAATATAAAACATATTTTATAAACTATTTGTACCTTAACCTCTCCCATGTCTGAAAAAAATCCAAGTCAGTTCAGCTGAATGAGTATTTGTAGAACTTCTGCTTTATGCCAACCACTGTGTTAGATATTGAAGGTCAAAAACAAATCCCTGCCTTCAGAGATCTTACTATCTAATGGAGGAAACTTACACATAAACAAACTTATAAATGAAATTTACCAGTTTGTTGATATATATACAAATACATGGATGTACATACATACAGATGTAGTTCATATATCACAACTTTCTCTTGAAAGTTATGATATTCACATATATTTCTTGAAACTATTAGAGTAGGTAGGTAGCAGAGATAAATAGAACCCAACCTTTTCTGATACTCCTCATGAAATGCGGATTAATCAGAACTTTGTATTCTGTTGTCCACCCACACCAATGAGTTTTTGATCTTTGCAGTAGCAAAATTTATTTTTTCTGTTGCATAGTGACTTTCTCATATTGAACGTTAGTATTCTAATTCAGTAATTCTGAAGATGTCTGGCAGGCTATCTTCTTGTAAAAATGAGTGATGGAATCTATTGATTCAAGGCACTGGCTGGGTGTCAATAATAGCTTTTTGGATACTTACATGTATTCTTGCCAGTTTTGCTTAGAGATGGAAAGATCAAAAGCGCTGTGTTGATAGGAGGACCGTCAGCACCTACATAGGGAAGAAACAGAATGTCAGTCTAACACAGCTTTTTCCTTTTCTTGATAAAATGAGAATTTAATAATAGCTATTACATTACAATCAGTCATGTAATGGGCAATGAAATGAAAGTTTAAAAATGTCTTTATTAAAACAACTTTATAACGTATTTTAAAACTTCAGGCCGAGCACAGTGGCTCACGCCTGTAATCCTAGCACTCTGGAAGGCCGAGGTGGACAGATTGCTCAACATCAGGAGTTCGAATCCAGCCTGAGCAAGAGCAAGAGCGAGACCCCGTCTCTACTAAAAAATAGAAAGAAATTAATTGGCCAGCTAAAAATATATAGACAAAATTAGCTGGGCGTGGTGGTGCATGCCTGTAGTCCCAGCTACTTGGGAGGCTGAGGCAGAAGGATTGCTTGAGCCCAGGAGTTTGAGGTTGCTGTGAGCTAGGCTAACACCATACAGCACTCTAGCTGGGCAACAGAGTGAGACTCTGTCTCAAAAAAAAAAACTGAAACTATTAGAGTAGGTAGGTACAGAGATAAATAGAACCCAACCTTCTCTTGATACTCCTCATGAAATGCGGATTAACAGAACTTTGTATTCTGTTGTCCACCCACACCAATAGTTTTGATCTTTGCAGTAGCAAAATTTATTTTCTGTTGCATAGTGACTTTCTCATATTGAACGTTAGTATCTAATTCAGTAATTCTGAAGATGTCTGGCAGGCTATCTTCTTGTAAAAATGATGATGGAATCTTTGATTCAAGGCACTGGCTGGGTGTCAATAATAGCTTTGGATACTTACATGTATTCTGCCAGTTTTGCTAGAGATGGAAAATCAAAGCGCTGTGTTGATAGGAGGACGTCAGCACCTACATAGGGAAGAAACAGAATCCAGTCTAACAAGCTTTTTCCTTTTCTTGATAAAATGAGAGAATTAATAAGCTATTACATTACAATCAGTCATGTAATGGGCAATGAAATGAAAGTTTAAAAATGTCTTTATTAAAACAACTTTATAACGTATTTTAAAACTTCAGGCCGAGCCAGTGGCTCACGCCTGTAATCCTAGCACTCTGGAAGGCCGAGGGTGGACAGATTGCTCAACATCAGGAGTTCGAATCCAGCCTGAGCAAGAGCAAGAGCGAGACCCCGTCTCTACAAAAAAAGAAAGAATTAATTGGCCAGCTAAAAATATATAGACAAAATTAGCTGGGCATTGGTGGCTGCCATG